CTGTGGCCATTTGGTTTTAATTGGAAACTGTCTCTTTAAATTTCGAGGAGATCTGTGCGCATGCGTAGTAGAACCCTCCGAGGGTGGGGCTGGGGTACCCACTAGTTCAGGCTCCCCTGAATGGAGGTGCACAGACAGCAAGGGACCAATGAACAGATACCAAAAGAAAAGAATGCTCACACCTTTATCTCTGCAGTTCTGCTAGGCATCTGTGGCCGCTCCGAACCTTCCCCTGCTTGGTCTCACCCAAGATGGCGGCTCCTGGAGCAGCTGAGCATACCAGCCTAGAAAACAATAGATTTCTTGCTTTTGACACAAATTCCCCAGCTGTAAGCCTTCCAACTTTCTAAATATTCCTTTATATGTGGTTCAGAGTTCTGGGACCATCCCCTGAGCCTGCTTGGTTGGGTATTCTGTGTTGTTGTTGGCGGAGCTCTTTACTACACGTCCACCCGATCCACCATCTTGTTTGTTCTCCACAGGGACTTTCTTGTTACACATATTTTATTGACACAACTTAAACTGGTGCCTAGCACGTAGTAGGTATTCAACTCATAAACTTTTATTGACATCAAAATAAGTTTCTGCTTCCATTTTAGCAGAAAAGGTTTGATCTTCTGATGGTTAGGAGACAGTAGATAAATGTCATTTATAATGATTAACAGTAAGATTCCATGCCACTGGGAAGCAGGGGAAATATAATAGACATGTTTGACCTTTTTCCTATGTAAACATGTTTTAAAAGTAGCATGGAACTGGAAATCTAACCTACATACAATGGAAACTAAGAGGAGAGGTGGAGTAAAAGTTTTTCTTGTGTCTGTGTGGTATTGATCTTTCTCTTAAACACTTCCCTCTCTTGGTCTAATTGTACTTCTTCATGTACTCTTCCTTTCTTGTCACACCTGTCCTCTGAAATTTAATATTGGCCTTCCTAAAATTCAAGTTTCCATGGATATGTTAGCACTGTATATTAGTAATATAATCAGATATAAACATTTAAAGCTATGGTGCTTCCTCTTATAAGGCAGTTTGTATCTTTATGTATGTGAGGGCCCTTCAGAAAGTTTGTGGAAATTTTCCATTATATTTTAACGCCGTTTCTCTATGAACTTTTTGAAGCCCCCTTGTGTGTCTGTGTCTGTGTTTATATTATATATTTCTATTGTGATCAGCATGACCTGATTAAAACTATTATAAGAACTAAGTTAACAAAGGAGAAAGGAGTACAACTTTGAATTAAAAGTAGAACCAAGCAATGAATAAACTTTTCACAACAAAAATAGGATCCTATTTCTTCTTTGAATCAAACTCAAAACTATAAGAATTTGTTTAGTCTTTCTTAAAATAATTTGGAAATATTGATTGCTATGGAAATATTTTTTTAATTGTTTTGTATTTTAAATAATAGGAAGGCTAAAGTTTTCAATTTTGCATTATCAAAATATCTCACCATGGCTTCTTATTAATTTCATAATGATTTAACAAGGCATAAGGGACTTATCACTAAGGAAGACTATTTGCTTTGTTACTTATGTTACTTTGCTTTAAAAATATCAAATCGACAAGATAAATATGTAATATATATGTTATTTCTACTTGGCTGGATAAATAATGTGATTATATTTTCCATAAAACAGTCTCAAAAATGACAAAGAAAAATAAAATCCAGATAAAATATTTTTTCTGTTTAAATAGAAATGATATAACTAAATTTTATAATTTTTAAAATTATTATTGGGCATAGAATTTTTTTTTTAACAATTACTAATGTGAACTAATTTTCTTTTTTTTTCCTATTTGTTCCGTAGGACAATTCTATTCCGAAATGATCCATAACTTGCTTCACCCAGTTCTGCAAAGCAAGGACTGTAATTTGGTTCGATATAATATCATCAATGCATTGCCCAATACAGCTGATTCACTAATTGGGAGAGCTGCACATATAGCTGTTCTTGATTCAGAAATATTTTTAGAAAAATTTTTTCTGGTTGCTGCCCTCAAATATTTCCAGTAGTATAAAAACATTTTTAAGAGACTTGAAAATTACCTCATTCAACAGTGATTCAAATAATGTATTATATTAAAGTATAGATGCTAATTAGTTATAAGAAATATTTATACCTTTTTATATGGAAGATAATTTATATCATCCATGTTTAGAGCTTTTAAAAACATCAACAACTTTACTTTCTAGTAATGTGGCTGTGCAATATTTTTTTAATTTTATCTTTTTACTTTTCTATTACTTTTTCATATATTTTGCTACCTAAATATTTCAGTGAAACTTTAAGCCCACATCTAATTATTACTGTCTTTCCACAGTTCTTACATCTGACTACATCATATTAAAGGCCATTATTGCTAGAATAGCACGGGGTTTTGAATTTTCTAATATTGGAGTATTATTTAGTGAATTATTAGCTTTATTTTTAGCATTTTACTATGTTGTAACTGGAAATAAAATTATAGCTGCTAAAATATATTTTTTGAAATCAACTTCTGTCATCCTAAAGTAGACCTTTCTCATATAAATCCAACCAGGCAGTTCATATTTGACAGTGTCATGAAGGTTTTCTATAAAGTCATTATTGTTGTTATTGCACATATGTCAGACCTATGAAAATATATTTTTACTGGTGATTTCAGCATTATTTCTCATACTGACTTTTATTACTGGAACTTTTCATGTTCATGTTGGCAGCATATAAAGATTTTGAATGTTTGAATGTCTTCTCCTTTGATTTGGTTGAAATTTTGCTAAATTTGGTAATGTTGCTTGAACTTTATGACTATATTTCTTTAACTTTTTTCATGAACTTTCTTGTATGTACATATAACAATTGTTGAAATTTCTGAAATACTTTTATGGATTTACATAATTTTTAAATATTGTTAAAATTTATTGAACTAAACTAATGTAAATAAAACAATTCATGTTGCATATGAAACAAAATAATTAACTTTACATGTTTGGTGATAAAGATGCAAACAATTTTGATTTATTGAGATGTTGACTCTTGATTTTCCTAAGGTGCTGAATAGCGGTAAATTCACTATTTTTCTTTCCTCTTGCACTTGTGAAAATAATAATGCACTAAAGGTGGATTGAAGGTTCTATTTGCATTCACAAGTTGTGACAGACAGAAAGTTTTTATAAGTCTGTGTTGTATAACTGATGCATGTTTATTTTTAGAATTGTGTTTATTGCCTCTGGTGTTAATAAATGAACAAATGCCTATCTAGAGAAGCAACTGAAACACGTGCAAGCCTTTGCTTCCTTTCAAAATACTAGGGACATATTTTTTAATTTATAATTTGGATATATTAATTGACCATATAGATCAGTGTAATTGTATAACTTATGTAAAGTACTTTTATAATTTACTTCTTTTGCATATATCAGATAATTCAGAGCTATTCATTGATTGCTCTCCATAATTCTTTACTTTTAAAAAAAAAGTAAAAAGTACTTGAAAATTCTGTAAATTGACTAAGCAATAATATACCAAGTGCACTATTACTGGAAAATATAAATTTATGCATTATCCACACATATTTTGCTACATATTTTTCATCTTCCATTTTGCATCTTCACTTGCCTTGGCCCTGACCTTGAAATATCATGTTTATTCTGAGCTTGGATAATCTAGATTTATCAAAGTTCTCATTGTTACTCATAATTATGTAAATAGTAAAATAGTATTTAAAAGTAAATTGACCTTATGATCAGTTAATCAGTTGTTGGTTGATTTAACAGTTTTAAAAGCATATCAATTATAATGGTTTAAAATCTAACAGATTTAACTTCTGATTTACCTGTCCACATCCAAATTAAGGTGGGAGAGGTTGTTGTTGTTAAGTGCCATGAAATCAGTTCTGACTCAACACTGTGTAGGGTTTCCAAGCTCTACTGGTGAGTTTGAACTGCTGACCTTGCAGTTCAAACTGACCTTGCAGTTGAGTGCTTATCCTATACCACCACAATCTGAAACTGTACAATTGAGTCTTAGAAAATGAATCCCATTGAAGTATATACAATAAGTATTTTAGTTGTAAATTACCAAAAGCAATCATTTACCAGAAAAAAATTTATTGGAAGAATACCAGATAGCTGTCTGCAGAACTGACAGAAAAATCTAGATAGCCAAAATCATCTAGCTGGAAATAATGCTTTATGCTGGCAGTGATGCCTCAAAATCAGATTCCAAACACTCTGCTTATTGATATCACTCACTCCGGATTCAGCATCTCATAGGAACGTCCAACTGATCAAGCCTTGTCTTGAGCCAGCACTTGAGTTCTCAGCCATCAAAAATAGCAGATGTATCTGATAGTCTGAACTTCCAGATTGGAGCCATTTATCCTACCAAGATTCACTGAACTTATTAATAGGTTTGACGAGTAGCTATCAGAGATTTCTAATCTTTTTTGGCTTCCTAACTTCCACATACACCTTTCTTCCCATATATACACATTTAAAATGCTGTCTATCACTATCCCTCCATCCAGCTGCATTGCACGAACTCAGTGTGATGACTACTTCTCCTCTGGTTCTATACTGATCTTGTCTCTTTAGATTACAACCTGCAGACAAAACTGTGACATAACCACCATCGCCTTATAGTGTAGTCATATAAGAAAAGGGAAATAAATAAACAAGAGCAAGTCAAAAAGTATTGCTACAATATCATAGCCACCTTTATTAGAAACGTGAAGATGTGAAGCCATTGCTTCTTGATATAGCCTTGAGCTAGGTCTGTACCCTCTGATGGTGTTTCCATCTCTAATCCTTTCCTCAAAGAAATCTACCTGCTTCAATTTGTGCCACGTCAAAAGAAACATTTTGGCAATCTTGAGGGGCTCAAGTTATGTTTCCTTGAAGTGTTCTTTGAGTTCAGGAAACAAAGAAGTCTGAAGGAGCAAGAATAATACTGCAGGGTGAGTGGAGTAAGGTTTCCCAATGAAATTCTCACAAACAGCCCTTGCTACTTTTGGAAAATAAGCAGGTGCATCGTCCTGACTGGGAAAAAAATTACTAAGTGCAACTTTCCTGACCTTTTTCTCACCAATGCAGTTTTCAATGTTCGTTAAACTTCATAATAAGCCTCAGTGATTGTCCCATGTCCAAAAAAGTGTATTCTAAAAATTACTCCTTTGGGAATCCCAAGAAACATCACTGTAACCTTCAGAGCTGACCTCCCTGCCCTGAATTCTCAGTTCTTCCTGACCTTCCCTAAAACTCTTGATCCATTTGAAAACTCTTGTTTTATGTCTTGTTTAAATTTGTTGTGAAGTCTCAATGATTTGGGTAGATGTCTATTTGAGTTTTGTTTAAAACATTGGTATTGGCCTTGACCTCAAAATCATTTTTTCCCCCATGGCACCAAAAGATTCCTTTTTTTTTAAAGACATTGTAACAAGACTAAGACAAGTAAATTGTCGAGAGAACTTGTCTGCAGCCATCTACTAATCACAGAAATGTTTAAACGTGTTTCTTTGGAATAAACCCATGCATGTATGAACTGGAATCCTGCTTTACAAATCATTTGGACTGCTTGTTAAAAATGGAAATTTCAAGGCTCCATTCCAGACCAACAATCAGGATCTCCAAGATAGGCTGTTGGTGCCGTCGAGTTTGTTCTGACTCATCGTCACCCTAGGTACAACAGAACAAAACACTGCCCAGTCTTGCACCTCATCACAGTTGTTCTTTTGAGTCCATTGTTGCAACCACTGTGTTGGTTCATGTTCCTCTTTTTTTGCTGATTCTACCAAGCATGGTGTCCTCTAGAAACTGATCCCTCCTGATAGCATGTGCAAAGTGTGTGAGATGAAGTCTTGCCATGCTTGTTTCTAGGGAGCATTTCAGCTGTACTTCTTCCAAGAGAGATTTATTTGTTCTTCTGGCAATCCATTGTATATGAAATATTCTCCAATCCCATAATTCAACTCTTTGATTGGTAACAGCATGTTTTATGTCCCAGACTTCTCTGATAAGAAACATCTATGACAAATCAAGGATCTTTGGTGACACAGTGGGTTAAGCATTGGGCTGCTAACAAAAAGATTGGCAGTTTGAACCCACCAGCTACTCCTCAGTAAACAGATGAAGCGGTCTGTTTCCATGCAGATTTATAGCTTTGGAAGCTATGGAAAAATTCTACTCTGTCATACAGGGTCACTATGAACTGGAATCAACTTGACAGCATTGAATTTGGAATTGGATAGTAAATACAGCTCAGTTCTACCACTGCTCATGAGTATAGATGGCTTATGATTTATCACCACTGCCAACCAGCCTCTCCTTTGTGTTCAACTAGCACCTAAGCTAATCAAATTTCTTTACTTAATGAATCACCCATGGATCTGGAAGATCTCAGACTTGGGAAGTCTCTCCCAACTAGTCTTGGCTCACTTTTTCAAAATTTAGCACAATATTGTGAGGAAGTATTCCAAGAGATCCCTGAGTTCTAGTCATATGCCTCTCCCTACTCCATTTTCCTCCATAGTAGTCAGGACCAATCTCTAACATTGTAACCACTTTTTTTAACCTTATCAAGGTGAATGAGCAAAAAACATCAGTCTCAGCTTCTAAATTTGTAAAGAAAACATACATGTCTACCCTAGTGGAAGCACTCTTGCTCTAGGTGTAAAAATCATTAACAGAAACTGGACTCAAAGATGGCAAGACATGAGGGGCCTGAGACTTTGGCATACTTGTAACCTAACAAGCTAGCTTGCTATAGACATGGATGATGACAGGAGACTCTTGGGTCAGAAATTAGACGTTATTATAGCAAAAGGAGTAGAATGTCAGCATATTTACACTTGTAGCCGTAGCTCTGACTCTCACAGTGTAATGCAGAGGGCCAGATGACACCTGTAATGTGTTGAGTTGTATTATAGGAGAACTCAGGGTCAAAGGCTCGGCGGTGTTCAATCAAGCAGAAAACATTTCAGCAAGCAGCAAACAAGCCAGTCCCCAGGGAAGCAGCAGTTAAATGATAGTCATGCTGTGGTTGCTTTGACCTACTTGGTTGCTCAGCATCAGAAGCACCAAAAAATGGATGAACCTTGCAGTCTGGCGCACTCAGAAATAACATGCTGTAACACTGGAAGACTGTCTCCACCCACAATGGAAAGACAAAAACATGAACAATATATCAGAAGTAATAGACACCAATCTTTCTACTATTTGGACCCTGTTTTTCTAGCAACAAGATACTGTTAGTTGATTGGAGCATACACCATATCCTTGAGGACAGCATCCCAAAGTGCATTTTCTTGCCTTGTTCCAAAACTACACCTTCCATAAGGCAATCAATCATTGGATAAAACCAGTTTGCTTCTGACGATGGGATTCATAATCCACACTTTACATATTCCACAGGAAAATGAGTTTTTGTTAAGTAATGTGTGGAATGCTGTACAAGGTATATGGGCATATAGGACATTCAATAAATCCACAGATGGAGCATATAAAAGAAGCTTAAGTCAGGGGAATCAATCTAAATCCAAAATAATTGTCTATTCCTACAAGAACTAATTGTGATCCCTTTCATGATAATATACTCAAACTTGCTACTCAGGCTTTGTAAAATGGCATTAGGGGTCAGGTTAATCATGGCAGTTGGGAAGAATGGTGCTAGCAAGTCAACCTTGGCAGAAGAAAAGACTGGAAAGTACATGCGTGCCTTCATTGCCACCATGCCCTTGTGTTTTCTCCTCCTCTCAAATGGACCTATTGATACTTCTAATAAAGCAAACATAGCAAAACTGGCAGGATCTTACTTAAAAGATTACTAAAAGACTGGCTTCCATCTTGAGCACTCTCTTGTATTCTTTCATTCATTCTACACAAACCTGGCTGCCATATTCTGATGTGCTATTTGTAGAAACACACATAACAAGGAACTGAGGGAGGCTTCTGGACTAAAGCTCAGAAGAAACTAAATCCTACCAATAATCAACTGGATGAGCTTAGAAACGTCCTCGCGCCGTAACACCAGCCTAGAGTTTGACTAAAACCTCTTGAAAGATCTTAAGCCAGAGGTATCCTGGCTCCAAGATTCCTGACCTACAGAATTTGTAAGGTCATAAATACTTGTCATTTTATCTACTGAACTTCAGTATAATTTGATAGGCAACCATAGATACTTAATACAGTCATCTTGTTCTAATTAAGACACAGTTACTTGCCATCTGATTGGAAGAGATACATATGTGTGCCCATTCCAAAGAGAGGTGATCCAA